CGGCAAGGATACAAAATCTTCTCTTCGTTCTAGGTGTGACGTGGTGTTTTCGGCAGACACTCTTACTTTTAGAAGTTTTTCTTAACATGACTGAGAGTTTGGGTTGTGCGACAGGCTGAGTGACCTTTGAACTCGTGCATGTATTCTTCCAGCTTTTAGGAAGACAAACGTGCACGTTGAACTCGTCACAAAGGCAGTGCAGCACTGAGGGGGGGTGATGGGTGTGTGCAAAAACAAGCTTCATTTGCCCCAAATTGTCTTGGAAAACTTTGCTCGGTGGTGGCGAACAAAAGGAAGGTAGACACCTCCTTTAGGACTGAGCGGCCTCCCGTTATCGATCTCTCGTGGTTTGCTCGTCCTGCGATGACCAAACGTTGCATTTCCTGCGCTTGCGTCACGAGGAAAAGCCGACGATAAAAGCCACAAACAAAACACAGCGTTGGTACGTTAAGCGGCTGTTGCATCGCAGACGTTAAACATTGTCATGAATGGGGACACACATATACACATATACACATATACACGTGGGCATCGGGGGTCATTTGTCTCACCGCTTCTCCCTCACCTTCCTCGTCCTATTCCCGCTGATGGGTGTCATCAGCTTTGTCGGGTGCTGCCCCCCCCCACCCCACCCCCCCACCCTGCAATCTAATGAGAGCACCGACAGACACGGCTGTGTGTGTTTGTGCGTCTCCGCTTCTCTTTCCATGTGTGCGCTCACATTAACGTCTGCCGGTTATTAATGCGCTCATCTTCTTCCTGCCTCACTCAGAAGAACCCGTCTCCTAAGTGCTGCCCGTCAGGAAGAGGTGGGGGCCGGGGGGGGTGCACATTACAACGGGAGGGGTCAATATCTATTTAACCCTTCAACTGCCTCCTCGACAATTTGGTAGAGCGCATTTTGAGACACAATATCTTATTGAAGAATGTACCTAAACTTAACCTCTCCACCACTTACATACCTTTGTTATTTTAATAGATGATCCCCTTCAAAAAGAAAAGGATTGAACTCACGTTGTCGGCAAACACTGAACAATTGTTACCAGATTCGACTGATTCGAAGACAAAAAGAAACAGAATCAGTATCAGACAAACGGGACTGAACGTGTAGCTCCCTGAGAATAAAACCTTAACCTTCCTCAGCCGCATTCAACGTCTTTATTGTGTTTCCTATTCTCACCCCCTGTGACTCCTAGTCGGCATCTTGGTTGCTGATGTTGTTGTTGTTGTTGTTGTTGTCGAGAGGAGAGTTAAGCGTTGGAAAATACAATAAAGGATTTTCTGCTGCAGAAGCGTGATACTTTTAAGAAACTGGTTTGATTTGGAGTTTCCTCCCATGCTGCCGCTCATCTCTCTCTCTCTCACTGAGTTTGTGAAGATATTACGTTTTAAGAGTCATTAAACTCACACCAGACGGCGGGTTTGGCTTCTCTCTTCACCACGTTTGTCCGTGTGTTGCTGAATAAAACCCTGACGCTCTGCAGTCGCGAGGCCTCCCGAAGGGCCGCTCGGCGTCTGGGGTGACGCCTCTTCGCGTCTACGCAACCCGCCCTCGAAGCACCTGACCTCTGACCCCGCAGCCGCCACCCCCTTTCGGTGAAGCGGGTTCACAGTCCCACCTCTCCGTGCGGCGCTTTGTACGCCATGAATCTTTAAATGCGACACAGCTGGAAAGCGAGACGGTCATGATGCTGAGTGCTGGAATATTCCACAAGGTTGTTCGTAGCACCGTCGGTGTGTGTGTGTGTGTGTGTGTGTGTGTGTGCGTGTGTGTGTGCGTGCGGGGAAGGTGATGAATGATGCAAAACGGAAAAGAGGCCGACGGACTCTTAACGCTTCCCCCTTCACGCATCACGTTACCTACAACGAGTGTATTCGCTGCAGAAGGAGGTCAAGTGCGAGCCGGTAACCGCCGCTGTGTCTATTCCTGCTCGCGCTGCGTCTTCCGGCACCTTCAGCCGCCGTCACGGGGCAAAAAGAGGTCAGGCCTGGTCCCGTTTGGGTCCCGTCCACGCCGAATCCCCCCGGTGTCCCCCCGTTTATTTAGCCCCGGCCTGGCTAACGGTCGTTTCCTGTGCACGTTGGGTTGGTCTGTGTGAGCAGCTGGCGGCGGTAACTGGGTAGTTTTCCTCACGCTTCATGATGGGGACGCCTCACCATCCATTATAGATGGATGACTGAGGGGGGGGGGGGGGGGGGGGGGCATTTGCATTAATTAACATTTCGGAGTGTCTCATTCTCATGTCTCTATTACTGTGTTGAGGAGAACGAAAGCACCAAACGACCTGATCACATGCGTGTTAAGGCGGGATGGTTTTCAATGGTTGACGATGTAAATGTTGTGATGTGATGATTGCAGATGCAACAGCAGCAAGAGGCCCTCGGGAGAGCGTTTGTGCGTCTGTGAGATGAGATGCATCACCAGAGGGGTTTGGTGTCGGCATCAGTCCGGCTGATTATTCACAGCGATACTTAAAACAAGTCTCTACTCCCTTTAGGTGCTAAATTCTAAATTCATGGCCGTAAAGTAGCAGCAAATCACTGCCTAAGTAAAGATGTAGTGGACCTTTGTTGTTGTAAAAAAAGCGCCCTACTACGTTTCATGAGCTCCAAAAGTTTCTGAAGATGACGAGAAACACGAATATCGTTAAAACGCACAACTGAGGCAGCTTGTGGAAGACGAGCGAAGAGCAAAGAGTTCACGGATCATCACATCACTACATCCAGGCCGGGTTTATCAAAGTCCTGCGGCGGTTTCCTTTTATTGGTCGGAAGCCTTTGATTCATTGATTCAAAATCATTTTGAAGCAGATAACCAACCCTCCCTTTAGCCTGGGGGCCGTCATCGGGCCCCTGATTTGCAGAATGAGACAATACTATGAAAGACATCCTGATCAACCTCCGCTGTGTTACGTGTGAATCGGCGAATGACGGCATGTGAACAGCCGTCGCTCCAAAGACAGTAGACGTCAAAAAACGACCCTCTACCGAGCGATAAGAGAAGCCAGTGAAAAGAATCACTGGCTCTTTACCTTCTTACCGCCTCGCCCCCCCTCCCTCTCTACCTCACGCCTCCATCTCGCCATCTCTCTCGCCACTTTGTCCTCCTCCTCCTCCCCCGTCCTCCTCCCTCCCGTCGGACATCAGCTGTTTCTTTGTTTTTCTCCCAGGAAGAGTTTTATTTGGAGCAGATTAATTAATTAGATACCGTATCAGCGAAGGCGCCGTTCTTAGCCCGGGTTTATCGAGGCCCGGAGGCTAATAGCGTGGCGGGGAAACGTGCGTGCGCGCGCGCAGCATCGACCGGCCCGCGTGTATTCTCAAGAATTCGCAGGTGCCCGTTGTGCATCCGCAGCGGCGTGCGCTAATTGGACTTGTCAAGAAAGTCAGCGCCGGCTGGTTATATAAGAAGCAATAACCACCGCGGCGCCATAACAGGCGCGCGTTTGTCGGTATGTAGCGCTGACTTTCATTAGCGAGTCCTTTCTAACGCTCCCATCTCTCTCTCTCTCTCGTGTTCTCCAGGGATCAGAGTTCTCCCGCAAAGCGCAGAGCAGCGAGCGATGAGGAAGAAGGAAAAGAGTTCCCCGTCCAATCAGAGACGCAGATGGCCACGGAAGACGTGAGCACCAGCCCATCCGGCGCCGGGGCGACTTCCGCCTGCCAATTCGTGCACAGCGAATCAAATGCGAGCCCGTGATTGAACAGCGGACGCAGTTTAACCTGGACACCCGTATCTGACCGCGCTGATTCTACTCTGAGGAATCACTAAATCCTGACCAAATCACGCCAACACGTCCTCGCTCCCTTTTCTAAATGGTTGTCGGTCTCGCTTGAATACATGTTTACATTGTGCGCACCTCCGCCTGGCTCTTCTCCTATGG